CTTCCTTTCTCTAGACTGTCTTACACACAGACATGTTGCAGCATGTGTGCGTATGTGTGTACGTATATATATATATATATATATATATAATATATATATATATACACATATATTTCATATGCGTGTACATGCAGCCGTCGTGAAAATCCTCCGGATTGGCACCCGAAATGACGTTCGGGGCTGACTGCTTTTTCGGGCTTAGGAATTCGGGGTTCAGCTTTTCGGGCTTCGGGACTATTGTAGGTAATTGTTGGGCCTCGGGTTTAAGGTAAGCCCTAGACCCTAAAATCCAAATTTGGGGTTGTTTAGGGTTTAGGATTGTTTAGGGTTTAGGGTTCGGGGAATTTCCAGAACAGAGTGGAGGCGGCGTCGCTCCTTGTTATCGGAGTACTGGCTTGGTCATCCTCAGAAGCTCAGCAACTATAGTAAACCCCAAAGAATCGAAAACCGGAATTGTTGGACAAAAAGTGCTGGGATTCCTTATGATAACATTACTCTTAAGGATTGAATTGAGCCTATTGGGTTTCCAACTTTTGCACTTCTGTTATAGCTATACGGACTGCTATAAGGAATACCATACGGGCAAAATATAAGGGTAGTATAGGGCTTCTATCAGTGCTACCCTAAGGGCTACCATTCAATCTACTATCAGGGCAACTACGAGGGCTACTCTTCTAAGGTCTACGATGCTACTATACAGGGAACTGAAAAGGCTGCTAAAAGGGAGACGGTATGAGGCCTCCGATAGGGGTTGGGAGTCGAGTGGGTCTATTTAGGGTTTTGTGCGGGCTTTCTAAGGGGTTTAAGTGGGCTTTCTAAATCGGTAACTCTATGCCCTAGAGCCTGATAGGAAGAGATGAGGGTTAGGGTGGACTGTAGCAGATCTTAGCCTGTCAAAAGATGCTCTCTCGCTGGCCTGAAAAGCGTTAAAGTCAGGTTTAGGGTTTAGGTCTAGGGTTTTTCCCTGAACCCTGAACCCTAAACCCTTAACTTAGGGCTTAACTGGGGTGTTTCTAAAGAGTAGGATCGAGCCGGCAAGAAAGGATTTCGGGGGTCTGGAGTTTCCGGCTGAGCTTAGGGTTTAGGGTTTTAGGGTTGAGGTTTAGGGATTTAGGGTTTTAGGGTTTAGGGTTTTAGGGTTTAGGTTTAGGGATTTAGGGTTTTAGGGTTTAGGGTTTTAGGGTTTAGGGATGTAAGGTTTTTGGACTGGCTTTCAGGAAGAACCCATCGTTACCTGCTTTGGGGGGCTTAGAGTGAGAAGGGCTTGGGGTCTACTTTGCTGGTTGCCACAGTCGGGAAGGAATCTGCTTCATTCCCGAGCCAGCCAGCTCCTGTCGTTAGTAAGGGGTTAAGTTATATGGACCTAGCGCTGGCGGGCTTTGGAATTATCAGCGTGTTTTGGAGTTTGGGATTCAAGATTCAGGGCTTCGGTTGCTTGCAACTACAGGCCGGCGCTTCTTTGGATTCGGAGTCCCCTCCTGGTACGACAAGCCGCAAGTGTGTGGTTCGTACCCGGGCATTTGGGGATTTGCGGTTCGGGGATTGGGACTTCTGGACCTACAGGGCTCAAAAACCAGGGGAGGGAGTGATTTGGGGTGTAGGGGTTTAGAGTCTCAAGGCTAGGGAATTTAGGTTTCTGGGTCCCTGTTGGATACAATTTTACATTTTTGTTATCATAAACCCTAATAAGGATTAAACATCATGATTCTTTTTTAATATGGCCCCAACAGGGAACCAGGTTTGGGGTTCCGGGTCACTGAGATCTACTGGGCACTTAGGAAGCAGCTTGTCGATGAGGTGAGACGTACCTTGCATTCTATCTATGATCTGGAAGCCTGATGCATAATCTCTCCTCCCCTGATCAGAAACCTGATAGGTACCCTGTCAATATGTCTACATGAAAGTTGTGCCGGGCATCCAGATCTTTCAACTGGAACTCCAGGGTTTAGGGTTTAGGCTTGTGGGTTTAGGGATCAGGTTTACTAACTATAGCAACCAATGACTAAGAAGAGCATGTCCCTCTATCCAGGGCGCTCGCGCTTGGACTGAATAGGAGTCAGGCTGAGCAGTATAGCAAAATCTGTTCTACTACAACATTAGTATACGACAAGACAATACTACACTATGCGAGAACCGTTACAAAACCGCCACAGAACAAGGAGCCTTTAAACGTATAGAGCCCTTGACGCTTAGCCGCCTTAGCCCTTAACCCTAAACCCAAAAGCCCTACATCCCCGATTCAACCATGTGAACCCTAAACCCTAATGCCTAAACATTAAACCCAAACCCGAAGGCCTAAACCTTAAATCCTAAACCCTAATGCCTAAACCTTAAATCTTAAACCCGATTGTCTAAGCCGTAAACCCTAAACCCAAATGCCTAAACCTTAAACCCAAACCCTGCCTAAACCGCAAAAACCCTAACGCCTAAACCCTAAACCCTAAATGCCTAAAGCCTAAGACCTAAATGCCTAAATGCCTAAATGCCTAAACTCTAAACTCTAAATGCCTAATGCCTAAACCTTGAAGCCTTAGATCCTAAAGCCCTAAAACCCGAAAACTCTAAACCCTAAACCCTAAATGCCTAAACCCTAAGACCTAAATCCCTGAACCTTAAACCCTAAAGCCTAAACCCTACACCCTAAACAAACCCTAAACAAACCCTAAACCCAAAAGCCTCAGTCTTTTTGCCCTGGCTTCTGGGAGCAGCTGAGGACCGGGCTTTTTGGAAACAGCTCGAGGGCAGGAATGCCCTGGCGGGGACAGGGCTTCTGGGGGTTTTTGGAGTTTAGAAGGGTTCCTTTCAAGGCATCTATAAGGGGACCTATAGGTGGTTTAGAGGTTTAGGGGTTTAGGGTTGAGGGTTTACAGGTTTAGAGGTTTAGGGGTTTAGGGCTTAGGGTTGGGGGTTTGGGGTACGTATTAGGGGTTTAGAGGTTTAGGGCTTTAAAGCTTAGGGTCTCTAGGGTTGAGGGTTTTGGGTATTAGGGTGGTTAGGGTTTTTTAGGGCTCAGGGATTCAGAATGTAGGGTTTAGGCACCAGCTTTCTTGTCGCAGGTTCAGGTCTTAAGATGCGGAGTTTCCGCACGGTTTCACGGTTTAGGGGGCTCAAGGTGAAGGGCTTAGGGCCCAGCTTGCGTGCTGCACAATTCTTAGAAGATGCGGAGTTCCCTCGAATCCCTGAACCTGCACTACCGGTTTAGGCTTTAGGGTGTAACCTCCGAAACAGAAACAGCCCAGATATATATACAGAGACTCCGACTGCAGCACAACGTCTCAAACAGAGAAGCCTCAGCTCCCTGACACGAACGCCCCAATGTAAGTACCTATATAGTAGAATGTAGGGTTTCTACAATATGAATAAATATTATGGCTTGGGCAAGTGTCTCCCGTATAAGTACTTAGGACCCTGTGGGAAAAATCCTGCATTACCCATAGGGCCCTTAAGGTACGTAATGCAGGGTGTATATAATCAACAGTCGGACGCTGCTTTTCTGGTTTAGGGTGTCGGCGATCTTCGACAGAGAAGTCTTTGTAGTAGAAGCCCAAAAGTTGGAAACCCAATAGCCTCAACCCCTAAGAGTAATGTAGAGGGAATCCCAGCACTAATTGTCCTGAATCCGGTTTAACACCTTTTTTGGGGCTTACCATATGTAGCAAAGTCTCAGACTGCTCGGCTTCCAACGCTACAAGTCTAAGTACGGTGTTGTTTTGGTCTATGGACCTTCAAGGTATGCTGCAAAGGCTTAGTACTGTATCCTGGTTTTGGTCAGTGTCCATAGGGCTGCTTAGGAAGATTCGTGGATGTATCTTTGCATGTCGTCTTGGGCTGCCATCGACAGACAGCTGCTTCAGTTACAATTTAAGATGCAGGGTTCAGCCGGACTTATGTGGTAGGTCCACGAGCAACGAGGCTAGCAATTCAGCTTGAAAACGAGGGCGACGGCGACGGTACGACGACTCCTACTGCTGCTCCCGCTCCTGCTCCTGCTCCTGCTCCTGCTACTGCTACTGCTACTGCTCCTGCTCCTGCTCCTGCTCCTGCTCCTGATCCTGCTACTACTGCTACTACTCCTACACTGCTACTTTTGCTACTACTGCTACTACTACTACTACTACTACTACTACTACTGTTACTACTGTTACTACTGTTACTACTGTTACTACTGTTACTACTGCTACTGCTACTGCTACTGCTACTGCTACTGCTACTGCTGCTACTACTACTACTACTCCTCCTCCTACCGCTACTGCTACTGCTACTGGTACTGATACTGATACTGATACTGATACTGATACTGATACCACGACGACGACATACAATACTACTGCTACGACTACGACTACGACGGCTACTGCTACTGCTGCTACTAGTACTGCCACTTCTTTGCTTTCTACTACTTCTACTCCTACTCCTACTCTTACTGCTTCTTCTACTTCTACCTCAGATTCATATTTATTATACTTCTACAGCTACTGCAACAGCTCCTGCTCCTGCTCCTGCTCCTGGTCCTGCTGCTGCTACAGCTACCGCTGCTGCTACTGCTACTACGACGAGTACGAACATAAGCTAGACTGCTACTAGCAGCAATGAGTCGTACATCAGCAGCGCACAGCAACAGTATATTTTGTCACTGCTGACGCCGCGGCGGCGTCGACGGCACCGAATGGCTGCGCCGGCCTTTGACCCGAGACGCTTAGTTGCATCAATGCCTGTCGGGCCCTGTCGAAACCTAAACCCTAAACCGTGCAGGAACCCAGAAGTAACGTCCTTCGGGCCGAAACGATACTGAATCAACTAAGGCAGCAGATTCAAAGGAGGCAGCGGATAGCCTTGTCGCCCTAGAGCAACGCTCAAGGTTCAAGGTTACCTTTATACACGCACCAACACAAACCCGAAGCCCCATGCCTTACCTAGATTTCTGCACCACGATGCTTGCAGGCCGGGAAAGAACTGGACTCGGAGGGAGCCCGCGCGGCTCCGCCAAGAAAAGGCCTGAGAGGATGGCTCAGTTGCAAAACATGTGGGGGTTTAGGGTTTAGGGGTTTAGGGTTTAGGGTTTAGGGTTTAGGGTTTAGGGTTTAGGGTTCCTGTTCGTGGGTAGTTCTCTGAATTAGGGTGTCTGCTTAGGTCCCCAAAATAGTACGGCACCCATATAAAANNGGAGGGAGCCCGCGCGGCTCCGCCAACAAAAGGCCTGAGAGGACAGCTCATTTGCGAAACATGTAAGCACCCAGAAACCAAAAATGCAAGCAGATCCTCGAACTATGAAAACTAAAGTGGGAGAATCCCACAACTTGAACTAAGAGAAAGGACTCAGAGCCAAGCCTCCATGAGATCCATGTGCATCAGCATCATGAAGTCACTTGAAGCTTTACCTGCTTCCCTCTTCAATAACCCCAAGAAAGGAATGTTAAAGTTATAGACCCTAAACCCTAAACCC